TGCTGCAGCTGCCCAGGCTGTAGCTGTTAACACCAGTTAGTTAAGAAGGAGGACACACGCACATGCACACGCACAGGCACACATGAAAGTGGCTGACACATTGCTCTTGGCTACTGTCTTAGGAACTTTGTTTTGTCCTGCTGTGGAGGCGGAAGAGTATGTGCCAGGGCTGTTGTGACCAAGTGGCTGTGATTACTGCATGCTGGGTCTCTGTAAAAATGTAGGTGAATTTGTGCTGGGATGAGTGACAGATGGTTGGTGGGGACACAGATTCATATTAACCACTTTGGACAATGATATATAATACTGACCCCCCACACACACACTTTGAGACAAAGTCTTTCTATGTAGTCCTGGCTGCCCTGGAACTTGCTATGTAGACCAGGCTGGCCTCAAATTCACAGAAATCTTCCTGTCTCTGCCTCTGAAGTGCTGGGATTAAACACATCTCCTCCACAGTGGCATAACATATAATACTCATGAGTAATATATAATACATATACAATATATCATATCCATGAAACCCAACCTTCTTCTGTCCTCAGCTCTAATTCCAGGTATTTGCCAGAGAAACTTTCCTATCTGCTTCTAGGAGACACACCCAAGGATGCTAATTGCAACATCAGCTTCACATGATGAAGTAGCAAAAGTTATAGAAAAACCATTGGGCAAAAAGGCATTTTGAGTTTGTAAGGTATCATTTATATAAATATTTTATTGTATATATTTATTTTATTGTAATTATTTATTTAGTATAGACTCTTCAGACAGGGTCTTATTGTACAGCCCTGGCTGCCCTGGAACTCACTATGTAGATCAGGCTGGCCTTGAACTCACAACAATCCCCTTAGAACTGCCTCTTGATTGCTGGGATTACAATGTGTACTACCAGGCCCCATAACCTTTTAAGGAGAGTAAGGATGCCCAAGATGAAACCCAGGGCCTCATGCATGCTAGCCAAACTCTGTGCTAGACTTTTTAAAATTATCATATGTTGGTCAGAAACATATGTTGTGAATAAATTAAAGCATGAATTTGAAAGATAAAGTTGATCCTCCGTATCTCCTCCAGTTTTGTGACTCAGTCCACTATAGACAGGAATACCAAGAAAGGGCTGAGGCTGTGCTACAGGAGTAGAGCACTTTCTAGCATGTGAGTCCTGCATTGGGCTCCAGCATTACATATCTATAGTTTAAATTTTTCAATTAATTATGTTATTTATTTATTTTACATCCTAACTGAAGCTTCCTCTCCCCCCTCCAAGGCCTTCCCCCAATTCCCCTAACTGCTCTTCCCCATCCACTCTCTCTCCCTTTCTCTTCAGAAAAGGGGAGGCCTCCTATGGGTACCAACCAGCCTTAGCATCTCAAATTTCAGTAAGACTAGACACATCTCCTACTGAGGCTAGAAAAAGTAGCCCAGTAGGGGGAAAGGGTCCTAAAGGCAAGGAACAGAGTCAGTGACAGCTCCTGCTCTTGATGTTAGTAGTCCCACATGAAGACCAAGCTATACTGCTGTTTCATATGCAGAGGGACTAGGTCAGTCCCATGCCAGATCCCTGGTTGGTGCTTCAGTCTCTGTGAGCCCAGGTTAGTTGGTTCTGTGGGGTTTTGTAAGACCTGCTGTGGGTCTTACATCCTTTCTCCTCTTCTCCCACAGGATTTCCCAAGCTCCACTTAGTGTTTGGCCGTGGCTCTCTGTTTATATCAGCTGCTGGGTGAAGCCTCTCTGACAACAGTTATGCTAGGCTCCTGTCTGCAGGCAGAGCAGACTATCATAAACAGTGTCAGGGGTGGGCTCCCTCTCCTGGCGTGGAACCCACAAGCTGGACTGATCATTGCTTCGTCACTCCCAAAATTTCTTCACCATCATTACCTCAGCGCATCTTGTTGGCAGGGAAAATTGTAGGTTGAAGGATTTTTGGCCGAGTTGGTATCCCAATCCATTGGAAATCTTGCTTGGTTACAGTAGATGGCCAATTCATGCTGCATGTCTCCACTGCTAGGAGTCTTAGCTAGGGTCACCCTCACAGATTCCTGAGAGTTTCCATCACCCTCGGTTTATAGCTAGTCCTAGAGATGCTCCACCCCACCGCCTTGCAGATTCCAGTTGTCTCCTCCAGTACTCTCTCATCCACCCCCCCACACACCTAATCCCTCCTATCCCCATCCCTACACCCATCTCTTTCTTCTGTCCACCCACAGTGTCTACTCTGTTTCTCCTTCTCAGTGAACTTCATGTGTTTGAGTCCTCCTTGTTACTTAGCTTCTTTGGGTCTACGGATTGTTAGCATCATTATCATTTACTTTATGGTAATATCCGTTTATAAGTGGGTATATATATCCTGTTTTCCTTTCTGGGTCTGGGTTACCACTCAGGATGATCTTTTTTAGTTCCATCCATTTGCCTTCAAATTTCATGATGTCGTTGTTTTTAATAACTGAGTAATACTCCATTGTGTAAGTGAACCACATTTTCTTTATCCACTCTTTATCTATCCAGTTGAGGAACATCTAGGTTGTTTTCAGTTTCTGGCTATTTCAAATAAAGCTGCTATGAACATAGTAGAGCAAGTGTCCTTGTGCTTTGTGTATATGAACAGGAGGGGTATAGCTGGCTCTTGAGGTAGATTGATCCCCAATTTTCTGAGAATTGGCCAGATTGATTTCCGGAGTGATTGTACAAGTTTGCTCTCCCACCAACAATGGAGACATGTCCCCCTAGCCCCACATCCTCAGCAGCATGAGCTGTCCCTTGAGTTTTTGATCTTAGTCATTCTAGTGGGTGTAAGATGGAACCTCAGAGGCATTTTGATTTGCATTTCTCTGATGGCTAAGGATGTTGAACATTTCTTTTCTCGGCCATTAGAGATTCCTCTGTTGAGAATTCTGTTTAGCTCTGAACCCCATTTTTAAAATTGGGTTATTTGATTTTTAGATGTCTGGTTTCTTAAGTTCTTTATGTATTTTGTATATTAGCCCTCTGTCATATGTAGGGTTGATGATCTTTCTCCATTCTGTGGGCTGATGTTTTGTCCTTTTGACTGTGTCCTTTGCTTTACAGAAGCTTTTCAGTTTTATGAGGTCCCAGCCATTAATTGTTGATCTTAGAGCCTGAGCTATTGGGGATATATATGTATATGTGTATGTATATATGTAAAATCAGCAAGATTCTTTACATCATTCTATACTTTCTTTTCTTTTTTTATTAGATATTTTACTTATTTACGTTTCAAATGTTATCCCCTTTCCCGGTTTCCCCTCTAGAAACTCCCTATCCCATTCCCCCTCTCCCTGCTTCTATGAGGGTGCTCCACCACCCACCCACCCACCCACCCATTCCTGCCTCCTTGTCACTCCCCTACACTGGGGCATCGAGCCTTCACAAGACCAAGGGCCTCTCCTTTCATTGATGCCCAACAAGGCCATCCTCTGCTACATATGCAGCTGGAGTCATGGGTCGCTCCATGTGTACTCTTTGGTTGTTGGTTTAGTCCCTGAGAGCTCTGGGGGGGGGGGTGTCTGGTTGATTGATATTGTTGATCTTCCTATGAGGTTGCAAACCCCTTCAGCTCCTTCAGTCTTTTCTCTAACTACTCCATTGGGGATCCTGTGCTCAGTCCAATGGTTGGCTGCAAGCAACCACCTCTGTTTTTGTCAGGCTCTGGCAGAGCCTCTCAGGAGATAGCCTCCTGTCAGCAAGCACTTCTTAGCATCTACAATAATGTCTGGGTTTGGTGACTGTATATGGGATGGATCCCCAGGTGGGGCAGTCTCTGGATAGCCTTTCCTTCAGTCTCTGCTCTACACTTTGTTCCCATATTTCCTCCCATGAGTATTTTGTTCCCCCTTCTAAGTAGGATTGAAGCACCCACACTTTGGTCTTCCTTCTTCGTGAGCTTTATGTGGTCTGTGGATTGTATCTTGGGTATTCCGAGCTTTTATACTAATATCTACTTATCAGTGAGTACATACCATGTATGTTCTTTTGTGACTGGGTTACTTCACTCAGGATGATATTTTCTAGTTCCATCCATTTAAGAATTTCATGAAGTCAAGCCGGGCAGTCGTAATCCCAGCACTTGGGAGGCAGAGGCAGGCGGATTTCTGAGTTCGAGGCCAGCCTGTCTCGAAAAACCAAAAAAAAAAAAAAAAAAAAAGAATTTCATGAAGTTATTGTTTTTAATAGCTGAGTAGTACTCCATTGTGTAAATGTACCACATTTCCTGTATTCATTCCTCTATTGAAAGACATCTGGGTTCTTTCCAGCTTTTATTATAAATAAGGCTGCTATGAACATAGTGGGGCATGCATTCTATACTTTCATATTACTTACCTCCATGGCTGAAGCAGGGGCTTTGGCAGGCTGTTCTCTGTTCAGTTACCAAGTACCTAGATTCATGTTTCGCTTCTTTGGATCTATAGATTGTAGAATCATTATTGCTCACTTTACAGCTAATATCTACCTAAAAGTGAGTACATACCATGTTTGTCTTTCTGGGTCTGGGTTACATCACTCAGGATGATATTTTCTATTTCTAAAATATTTCTAACCATGTATAGCTTTTGCAGGGCCAGGCATGGTAACATACTTTTAACCCCAGTACTTCGGAGCTAGAGGCAGACGGGTATCTGTGAGCTCAAGTCTAACCTGCTCTACATATTAAGTTCCAGTTCCAGGTTAGCCAGGGCTACACAGTGAGATCCTGTCTCAAAACACACATTCATATACACCATTTTTCCTCGGACTTTATTTGGTGCTTAACAACTTGTAGGCATTCCTGGAATAGCATCTGCCCTTCAATTCATTTGCATCTTGCTTCCCTTCTCCCCTAGAACTGGGCCCTCTGGAAATTGCCCTCACTATCATCTTGACCTTTCTTACCACTGGCTCAGTTGCCATTTTTCTGGAGGATGCTATTTACCTATACAAGAACACCCTTTGCCCCATCAAGAAGAAGACTCTGATCTGGAGTAGCTCTGCACCCACGGTGAGGATGCTGGTGTCTGGACAGGAGAGGGACTGGAGAGGGGGCAGGCTGTCTTGAGTGTTCTTCTAAGCTCATTTGCTTCAAACAGAGCTTCCTGCCAGGACCATGTAGCACCGGTGCTGTGAACTGATCCCTACCTGTTTGCAAGGCCAGCCAGTGGGTGAAGTATTCCATTGCAAAGGGCTGTGGAGGCAGCAATCCACTGGGTACCAGGAGATGTCTTTCTTTTTCCCTTCACTATGACTGCTGTTAAAAGCAGACTGCCTTCAAATACACAGACATCTGTTTCCACGGGGTCATACTCAGTGCTGCCCTTTTGCTGTGGGCCTGTTCTTTGTCTTTGTTCCCCTTGTTTGTACTGAGCACTCCGGCACTGAGCCACAGCTCCGGCAGCTCCAAGCCCTTTTAAACTTACCTATGCAGCATCGCATGGGACTTGGATTTAACTTATTCAGTTATTTTCCAGTTGGAATTTTTTTCTTTTAAAAATGCATTATTATTACTATGTATTACACTAGTAGTAGTGGTAGTAGAAGTTGGGGGTGGGTGGGCAGCATGTGTGCCACAGCTCACACGTACAGGTTAGAAGGCAATTTGAGGCATTAGTTCTGTCCCAGTCTTATGTGGCTTCCGGGACTGAACTGGGGTTGCCAGGTTTTCATGGGAAGCACCTTCAGATGCTGAGCCATCTGAGTCCTGGTTCTTTTTGTTGGCCCTGGGTGCAGCGCCCAGGGCCCTACCCAGCAGCTAACAAGTGGAAGGACCTGGGCCTTCAATGCACAGGTCTGGTTTCTTTGAGCTCTTGCTACAAGAAGCTTGGATGGTCTCACCCCTGCCTTAACCTGCATCCTGCTCTTCTGTGATCAGGTGGTGTCTGTGTTCTGCTGCTTTGGTCTCTGGATCCCTCGATCCCTCACCCTTGTGGAAATGGCCATAACCTCGTGAGTGTCTGGCCCCACCCCCTCCACTAGGGATGAGCATTACTTTGGGGTTCCTTTCTGATTCCCAAGCCTCCAGAGTCTATGCCTTTAAGTCCCATTGATACGAATCTAGCTCTTGCCGACCTGTCCTAAAGTGAGGCTCTTGGAGTCTGCTTGTGCCACTTTCCTTTAGTGAGCCCCACTTCTCCCTGAAACCTTCCTCTTTAGCAGCAAAGCTGTGTACTCAGATGCTCCCACTCATGTACTTGCCTTTTTCTCCCAGGTTTTATGCCATATTCTTTTACCTGCTGATGACGGTCATGGTGGAAGGCTTTGGTGGGAAAGAAGCAGTATTGAGGACACTGAAGGACACCCCAATGAGGGTGCACACGGGTCCCTGCTGCTGCTGCTGTCCCTGCTGCCCACCCCTCATACTTACCAGGTAAGGCAGGAGGGGCATCCCAGAGGACAAGTGAGCCTCGAGGCTCTGTGACCCTGGCTCAAGGCTCTGGAATTAGGCCTGTATAGGGCAAAGCCAACACTAAAGGTACGCACCCACAGCCAGGAATCCCAAACATGGGGACCCAGCCCCAGGGGAGAGGAGGAAGAATTCATAAGTTTCAGCTCACTGCCCTGCTTATTCACTTTATTGGTTTTGTTTGTTTTTGAGACCAGTTGTCTCTACTATGTAGATTCTCTGTCTGTTGTGGAACTCTGTAGACCAGGCTGATTTTGAACTCACAGAGATCCTCCTGCCTCTGCCTCTGAGTGCTGGAAGTAAAGGTGTGTTCTCTCATGCCCAGCTTACACTGTATACTTTAGAGGCAAAGAGAAAACTGTACCTTTGGGTGCTTGTTTGCCCTTCTTGCCTACTTTGAGTAATGAACTTGAAATCAATACTTGGGGTTCCTCCTCACAAGGCATCACTGGAGGCAAGGGGTATTCCTAGGGCTCCCAACATTCTCTACCTTGTCTTCGTCCACAAGACATTTTTTGTATGATGGGAGCCCAGCCGTAGCCCGGGAGCTGAGTGCAGGGTCTAAGCTTCCTTAGGGTGTGTGGTTTATAGACCCACTCTTCTCCTCCCTCAGGAAGAAGCTGCGGCTGCTCATGTTGGGTCCTTTCCAGTATGCCTTCTTCAAGATAATGCTCAACATAGTGGGCCTGTTTCTCATTCCAGACGGCATCTATGACCCAGGAGAAGTAAGCTGGAGATAGCAGCAAAGTCTAACACTTATCTTTGGGTTCTGGAATTAATATCCGACCACAGGGAGCACACAGGGACAAGGGCTGGGTGGCCACGGGAGAGTAGCAACCCAGAGAATACAGTGGGAGGAGATGAAGTCCAGGCTTTGGGGCTTTCATATCAGCTTTCTTCATGTGGAAGAGGGAAGAGAGACCACTTGTCCTCCTGACTGCTTTCTGGCCTGCCACCAGATTTCTGAGAAGAGCACGGCTCTCTGGATCAACAATTTCCTTGCTATATCTACCCTTTTGGCTCTCTGGTGCCTGGCCATCGTTTTCCGTCAAGCCAAGATGCATCTTGGTGAACAAAATATGGGATCCAAGTTTGCTCTGTTCCAGGTAACTACCTGCCAGAAAGTGTTTGCCAACAAATGACTGGGTTAGGACCACCAGAGGCAAAGGCAGACCCAACAGTCTGAACCTTTGGGTTTCCTAGGAGATTTGGAACATTATCTCCGCCTCTTCCATTTTATCTTTATTTTGTTTGCCTTTCTGTACCACAGTACCAACAACCAGGGTTAAAACAACAGGAGTATATTGTACAAATCTAGAACCTGGAAACCCAAAATCAAAATGCAGGCAGGGCTGTAATCTCTCTGGAACGTGCTTGGGAGAACCCAGCTTGGCACTTCCTCTCAGGAATTGGCCAGCAATCCATAGTGGTCCTTCCTTGGCCTTCTGTATTGCTCCGATCTGCCTCCATTGTCACATGACTTTGTTTACAAACCTGTCTTATGTGCTAGATGCTAATGGTGGCCATGGGGGAGGGAGATAAGCAGATTTTTGTTTTTTTTTTTTGGTTTTTTGAGACAGGGTTTCTCTGTGTAGCCCTGGTTGTCCTGGAACTCACTCTGTAGACCAGGCTGGCCTCGAACTCAGAAATCCACCTGCCCCTGCCTCCGGAGTGCTGGGATTAAAGGCATGCGCCACCACTGCCTGGCTAGCTAATTTTTTTTTTTTTTTAAATGAGCAACCCTAGCCGGGCGGTGGTGGCGCTCGCCTTTAATCCCAGCACTTGGGAGGCAGAGGCAGGCGGATTTCTGAGTTCGAGAGTTTGAGGCCAGCCTGGTCTACAGAGTGAGTTCCAGGACAGCCAGGGCTACACAGAGAAACCCTGTCTCGAAAAACCAAAAAAAAAAAGAGCAACCCTAATGAATATGAGGCAGAAACAGGATTATAATTTGCCTACAGATGGAAACTGCACCAATTTTCGATAAAGCTTAAGTCTTGGTCCTCCGTTAACACAGTCCTGTTAACCTCACTTACACACGTGATGGTATGCCTAATCTGCACCAACCTCAGGATCAGAAATGGCAGGTGTCAGTCCTTCCCCTATCTCTTCTACTCTTCAGGTGCTTGTCATCCTGACTGCCCTGCAACCTGCTATTTTCTCCATCTTGGCTAACAGCGGAGGGATCGCTTGCTCACCTCCCTATTCTTCTAAAATCAGGTCTCAAGGTAAGCACTCAGGGCTCCTTTCTGTCTCAGGAGACTGAGGACAGATCAGGGGGGAAAGGATCTTGGAACAGAAGTTGGGCTAGCCTGATGTCTGCTGAGACTGTTCAGGAAGGATCCAGGAAATCAGGTGGAGGCTCTGAGAGGAGTACTCTTTCCTCTCTGATCAGAGAGCTTCAATGTCCCCAACTTGAGGCCAGTCCTAATGGGCAAACCAGAAGCTCAGACCGTATCTTGGGACAGGACTGTGTATGGTTAGGAAGCAGACTATGCCGAGTAAACACATGGATTTGCTCTCAGATCACAGAAGCCAGAGCCAAGTTCTGGCTACCATTAATCTGCCTTGCTCCACACAACAGTTTAGTGTCCCAAGGTCCTGCTTTGGAGGTAAACTAGAGTCAGCTTGCTTGCTAAGGCTGCTATGGATTCCTCCTCTGTCACACAGCATAACTTCTTATCATGTTCCACCCCACACTGCAGTGATGAACTGCCACATGCTCATACTGGAGACCTTCCTGATGACAGTGCTGACACGAATGTACTATCGAAGGAAAGATGACAAGGTTGGGTATGAGACTTGTTCACCGCCAGACCTGGACTCAGCACTCAAAGCCTGAGGAGAGTGGCTTGGACTATGGAAGAGATACTGTTCTCCACATTAGAGCATGAGCTTTCTTCTGTCCCTCAACCTTCTCAGTGGTTAAGGCTCCCACTGGCAGGGCAGGCTGGCAGTGTCCATGTGACTATAGGGATGAAGGCAAAGTGCAGCAGGCTGAACCTGTTCCGAGTCTTTCTCAGGGAAGTTTTGTAATAAATGGTGAAAGTTGAAACGCTTGCACAAGACACTGTTTCTGTTGGTACCACTATTAACCCTGAACACATCGAAAGTCACCCTGAGGAGAAAAGTGCATCCACGGTTGATGTATGGTTTATCTGATATAAGAATGGAAGTAGACCTTAGCTGGGCACAATGATACCAGCCCAGCTTCCCCAAGCTAGGCTCTACACTGGAATCCCCTTTCCTCAGAAGCATTGGTTGGCTATCAGAAGGTCTGAGGTCCCTCCCTTTGTGCTAGCCTTTTGACTTTTCAGTAAGAAGTTGAGAACAGAACTGCTGGTTAATATGGTAGTGAAGCTTGATATTGAAGACAGAAAATCAGGATGTAAAAATCAGAGGAACTGAGAATACAAATAAAAGCCCCCAGTACTTAAAACATTACATACATGTATGTCTGGGCAAAACTACAGGAAATTGAAACACCAGGCAAAAACACATGGCCTTTATTTGGCTAAATGACAAAAGCCAAAATAATTCTGCACAAAGTGTTAGACAGTAACGTGATACACTGGTGATGTCATGGGTGACTTTCCAACAGTGTTTTCTGTTCGGGAGCCTCAATACAAAACACCCACCCACCAACTCTTAACTGTTCAGAACAGTCAATTTCTCCAATGTGGTGGGAAGTGCTCACTTCACACCAACCAGGGCCATCTAAATGTTAACCCTGGCATTTCTGTTCTCTACCCCAATTTCATATCGACAAAAAGTTCTGGCAGACTGAATATATTTCTTTTTCCTTTTAGGAGAGTTAACTTTTAATAGTTTAAGTCCAAGAACATGTCCTACTTACTTATTTTGAAAAATAGAAGCTAGGGACCATTCTTTATCCCATGATAATCTATACTGTGAGAGAAAACAATCATTGTTATGACTTCAAAAAATACCTTTAAAAATACTTATATTGGTATGTTTAAAAAAAATACCATTAGTCTTAAAACATTGTTAAGGAAGCTTTCTTTGAACCATGTGGGTTCAATTTCGACGCATCTATGCTGACAGAAATCTAGAAGGGAGATTAAACCAAGACAAGAAACAGAATTGATTTGGAAAAGGATTGAAAAGTTGATTAAGAAACAGATTTCAAAGACAACAGGCTCCAGAATGTGAGTTATACAAGTGAACTCAGGCTAGAGACAGTGACAAAGCATTTGGAAGAGCCACTGTGGAGGGGCATCCTAGACAGCTGGTCAGATGTGTGGCCTCAAGAATAATTAAGGTGCTGCTGAGAAAAGTGACCTGGAAAGCTCTCTCAATCTCTTTCTCAGGACTCAATCTCTTTCTCAGGTCAGCATTTTTGGCCTCAACTCCACCCCTTCCTCATGTAAGGGTCTCTGGCTTAGCTGCAGCACTGGCGATCCATTTCCATGTGCCCTAAGTGGCAACCTCTATTTGTAGTCCTGCCCAGTATTCCAAAAAGCAAGGTTCCTGTTCAGCCCATGCCAAGGTTAACTGCTGCACTGGCTCCTCCCCAGCTACACGGCTCCTGTCTTCAGCCTCCTCCTCCTCCTATGACATAGAGGCTGTGAGGCCAAACAACTTACGGTTCTCCAGGCCCTTCCATACTGCTGCTTTCTTGGACAGACTGGGGGAAACAGCTCTATAGCCCAGGTTGCACAAGAGGTGTGGATTACAGTCACAGACACATTACATTACACAGCTTACCCACATTTAACTAGATACAAGTGGCTGACGGTGCACTATCTCAGCAGCACCTTTTTCTAGCACCGAGGAGCACACTGACCCTCAGGTACCTACCATGCAGCCACTCCCACAGCGTTTTTGCTTGTGTAAACTATCTGAGAGTCTGAGAGTTAGGAGATAGTAAAGGGTGAATCTGAGCATAGGCTAGTCCCAGCTGGGTTACATGTCTTGTCAGCATAGATGCTCTGATGTTTGGGACCTAGACTGTATACTTGAGTGACTACATGGAGGAAAATCACACGTGAGCAGCTAGCTCCCTTTGCATTTCCACAGGGCACACCTGGGTGACAAGCACTGAGAGAACAAGCAGGTGAGTGCCAGCAGTGACGTCACCACCTCTGTATACCTGGGAGAATAAGGCAGAGAGAAACGGATCCCCAAAGAGAAGACTAAAGTAGAAAAGTGACAGTGAGCCACGCAGCAGTACATAACGCGAGCAAGACTAATTTCAACAGGTTCAGAGAGGACGCCAGGCCAAGGCCATATGGATGGGATCTGAGCGAAAGCAACGCTTCATGAGGAGTTGGCAATGACGTTTTCCACAGGCTACTGGGACACCAGGTGGTGTCCCTTTGCCCCTCTCTTCTGCTCAGCTTTGCCTGGGAGATGGTTTAGGAGCCTATGTAGTCCTGCTGTGCAGGCACTGTGTGGTGTTAGCCTCAGACCCTTAGGCAGTAGAACAGCTTCCACTAGAGAGTGTCTAGGGAGGACTGTAAAATGCTCATAGTCCCAGCATGGGCCAGTGAGGAGGTACAAGGAAAAAGAAAATGTGGTTTTCTTTGTTGAAAACATGAAAGCTCCACCCCCACAAGGGGTATTTATGAGTGACAACTAGTAGGTCCTGGACATCAACAACTTTGCGCTAAATCCAGCTACAGGGTAACTGATGGTGAGGAACTCGCTGGGCATGGAGTGACGTGCCAGGGGGACTGAAAACACCAGCTCCTGCTCAACAGTAAGTGCTGAGAATCAGTACTCTTCGATTTGAAATTCAAGTTCTATTTCCTCTTAGGGCCACCAGGCACAAGCAAGCAAAAGGACACGGACTTCTGTGTCCTAGCAGTTTTAACCCATGCCTGTTGCTTCAGGAGGAGCACTGGAGGAAGTCCCTGCTACGTGCAGTTCTTGGAGCAGAGTCTCCATGTGATACTCATTTGACCCAAGAATATTCTAAGATGAGCAGAGGTTGAGGAGAGTGTTTCAGAGATCAAAGTGTTTCCTGGTGCTTTTGCCTGTATGCTCTGAGAAAGTCTAAGTGCTGAATATGGCAATAAGCAACATGGACCAACGATGGGTCAAGGGCAAGCTGCAAACACTTACAAAACATCCTTTGTATAAAGCTGGGCGTGGTGCTGAGAGGGTAGGTGCAGGCTGAGGGGCACACGCCCAGCAGAACTAAACCTCAGCTGCCCCTGCACTAGACTGAGTTTACCCCACTACTTTCCAATCACAGTAGCCCTCAGAGTGCCCCTTCCTTCACAGGTAGTCTGCAGGAAAGAGACTGACAAGAGCTCCAAATAACTGGGCAACAGAATTTTCTGAGAAGACAAACACAGCAGAAAAACTGCAACTGATGCTCTGTGGTTTGGTTCTGTCCCCATCAGTGTCTTCGTGGACCCCATTGGGTCCAACAAGAAACTCCTCAGGGAGTAAGAAAAGTTAGGCTCAGATCTCTTCCTACCCACAGCCACGCTGACACACGGGCTGGCAGGACACTCAGGGAATCTGGAGCTAATTCAGCTTTGAGATATTTTTTAGGGAAGTTAAAATTATGAGAGTCTCCCCAAATTATCCATCAGCATGGCTCCCTGTTAGAAGGATCTGGCAAGCCACTTTGCTTCAGAACAGAAGGCAAGCACTAGTGTTCAGGAAGAAAGGCCTGTGGGCATTCCACGCTTCCTTCTTCTGCCCACTCCTCAGGGGCAAAAAATTAGTTCTACTTACTATGTTTGAAAGACTACTTTTTAAAAAAAAATTAATAAAAATGACAATTTCCCTGTCAAGATTACATGAGCATAAACAGTAAAGCAAAGTTCTGGGGAGGAAAGATGGATGCAGAGCAGGCTTCTAAGGTGTGGGCAGCCTCCTTGGTGTGGCTGAGAATGAATGTCTCAGGGTATGGGCTGTTTTGGTTCCCCATTCCCAGGTCCTCTTGCCCCGTTTGTCTTTTCTTTGTAGATGTCCTTAGGTTTAGTGTTGGGATCACAAAATGGAATTCGACAGAGAGCTTCTGGAGGTGATGGGCGGGGGTTGGGGGGAGAGGGAACAGGGATGAAAAGTTAGTCCTCTTCATCCTCGCTGATGTCACAGGTCACAGCCTTGCACCTAGAGAGACTTGCTGGGGAGGAAGATGGGGAAGTCTTGCCAGAGAAGGGCCACCGAAAGGAGGGGGAGGGGGAGCGCTCATGAGTAGGGCTGCTGCTGGGACTCTGCTTGGGACTGATGGCCTGCAGCATCCGACCTTTTCCCTCTTTCAGCATGTGCTTCTGGGGAGGAGACCAAAAGCAAGAGTTAGAAGATACCTATGGACCACATGCATCACCACTGGAGCTTCTGAAACCTCAAGTTACTATGGCTCTCCCTGCAATTACTTCTCACTGCTGTGATCAAAGCTATGGTCCCAAGCATACTAACCTAAACACTCTGCCACTGACTTGTTTCCCTAGCCCCTGCTTTGCTAACCGTGACTCCAGAAGACAGGGGGCAGAACTGTAGTCCTAGGCCATCTCCACCTGCTCACTACAGTCAGCCTAGCCTTGACTTCAGTCAGAGGCATCTAAGGGCTACTTAGTGTGCAGTCCAAACTCCAGCAAAAACAAAGGCTCACTAATGAAATTCTTTATTTGTTTTGAGAACGCTGTGCTATTCCTCAGGACAGATCCCCCTCACTGGGGAATCCATAGCAGATCTTCATTGAGAGGAAGCTTTCTATCTGTTCTTTGTTTTTCCTTCTCTTCAATGTAAACCCAAAACATACAAGTTGTCAAGGCTGATAAAGCAGCTGAAAAAATTACTAAGAAATGTCTACTATATTAGATAACTTCTTAATTTTGATGTTCCTTTCTGCTCAAATATTCTGTTTCTTTCCACTGCATAGCATTACAATTCTCTTGAACTCATTTGTCTATTGCCTGGAGGCTGACGCTATTAGAATCACAAGTTCAAGGCCAGCCTGAGCTACATAAGTAGGCCTTAGGGAGACCCTGTCTCAAAATAATAAATAAATAAGTCTGGTGCAGCAGTATACACCATTAATCCCTGCAGTTGGGAGACAGAGACACTGTGAGTTCTAGGCCAGTCTATTCTACACTGCAAGTTTCAAGCCCACCAAGGCTACCTAGTCAGTTCTAGTCTCAAAAAATAATAAATAAATAAACTAACCAACAAACATAGGGCTGAGGTTGTAGTTCAGTGGTAGAGTGCTTGCTAGCATGTGTACTCTGCCCTGGGTTCAATTCCAGTACAGCAGAAAGAAAAAGCAGCCCCCTTCCCTGATATTCCCTCAAGTGTCAGGAAGAAAGGCTCCCACCAGTGCTCCTTCTGGACCAAACATTTCCAGGAAACTTCCAATGAATTCTCGGGACTTCTCCTCCCACTTCTGGATGAGGTCGATGCTCTTTTCTTCCACCTTCTGCACAAACTCTTTTGATTTTTCCTCCACATCTTTCACTTTCTTCTTTACTTTATCAACTCGTTCTTGCAAGTGGTATTTCTTCTCCTGGAACAAGAGACAACTGATTTTTAAGAAATAATACCCAGGCTGGGGCAATGGCCTAGAGGATGAGTACAACCTGCAGCTCTGGAGAACCTGAGTTTGACTGACAGCATGAACTTCAGCTGGCTTACACCTACCGTATGTCCAGCTCCCGAGAGATCTAACACCTCTGGCCTCCACAGGCACCTACACTCATATGCACATAACCACAGATATATACATAATTTTAAAAAATAATAATATTAATTAAAAAATACCCAACTTAACTTTACCATAAAAGAAAGAAAAATTTGGCTACTGATACTGTTTTCAAAATTTTAAATTCTGCTTTGCTTAATCTGCTCTGTGTTTATTCAGCATAATAACAGGAATGATAACCTCTGTCTGGACAGCCTTATATGAAAGTGTGATAATTCTAACATCGAAAACTATAACAGTGAGGGCAGAAATAGATTAGCATGCAACCAAAGGAAGTCAAGGTTTTCTAGATAAATCTGATGTAATGGAATAGAGATCTAGCCAGGATGGCTCTCTCCGATGGGAGACTGCGTGCACAAGTTCATCACACAGCACTTCCGAGAAGCAGCCAACCCAACACACCAGAGTCAAACGGAAATACTACATCCTTAATTGATGATTTTGGATCCCTCATCACTAGCTTATTCCATGAGTTTACATAAACTGACTTTAGTGTGTGTGTGTATTGTGTATGGGTGTGCATGTGAATGTGTGTGCATGTACATGTGTGTGTGTGTGTGTGTTTGTGTGCAGGCAGGTCAATATCAGGTGTCTTTTTTTTTTTTTTTTTTGGTTTTTCGAGACAGGGTTTCTCTGTGTAGCCCTGGCTGTCCTGGAACTCACTCAGTAGACCAGGCTGGCCTCGAACTCTCGAACTCAGAAATCCACCTGCCTCTGCCTCCCAAGTGCTGGGATTAAAGGTGTGTGCCACCACTGCCCGGCAGGTGTCTTCTTTAATTAATCATTCTCCCCTTATTTTTCTGAGGCAGGGTCTCTCATTGAACTGGAGCTCAGCAATCCTCCTAGGTGACCTGGCTGCTGGGTTCCAGGGATCCTCCTGTCTTAAGGACGTGCAGCCACACCTAGCTTTTGACCTGAGTGCTAGGGTCAGAACTTTGGTCATTACTTGTATGGCAACCATTCTACCAACCGAGCCATACTCTCAGCCCATGTTTTGCCTTTTATAAGTTGCAGATCTGCTTGCTCATGTGCAAAATGGCAAAAAGTTGGTCCTGCCAACATCCCTAAACATTAGTGTAGAATGGTATAAATGCTCAAATGGAGAAGAAGTGATGTTTAGTCAAATGTAAAGTATTGTGTTGTCTGAGCATACTGGCACTTGCCAGGTAATCCCAGTACTCAGGAGGCCAAGGTAGGAGGCTCACAAGTTCCAGGTCAGCCTGGGCTACAACGTGAGCATTTATTAAAAACACAAAACAATGTAAAAAAAAAAAAAAAAGGTAGTTTCTTAATTTCTGTATCATAAGGAAGGAAGGAAGAGGCCACTAAGTACAGCTTAGTGATACCACCTGCTCTTGGTTGCACAAGGTAAAGGGAGGGAGAGAAAGAGAGAAGGAAGAGGAATCATTTGGTTCTGTTTTTTCCCCTTTACTTTCCTTTATGTGTGCAGGTGGCTCTTTTGTTGCTGTCTATGTACCTCACACTTGCAGTGCTTGGCACCCAGGAGAGCTGACTGGACGCCATGGCACCCGAGTTACAGATGGTTGTGAGCCGCCACGTGGCTGCTGGGAATAGAATTGGGACCTCTGGAAGAGCAGCCAGTGTTCTTAACCACTGAGCCATCTCTCTAGCTTCTGCATTTGTTTTATGAGACAGTCTTGCTATGTAGCTTAGATTTGCCTCAAATTTGTAATCCTCCTGACTCAGCCTTCTAAATTCTGAGATTACAGGGATGCATGCTTGGCTCACCTACCTTTTGTTTTCTAGTTTGATTGTGTTTTGAGACAGCGTCTCCTATGTAGCCCTGACTGAGCTGAAACCTTCAATTTGAAGCAATCCTCCTGCCTTTGCCTTCCAAATTGTGGGATAATGGGATGAACCACTAAGCCCTATTCTGGTTTATTTAATAATAAATAGCTATTATATAATTGCTTTACACAGAGCTGAGAGCAAGTGAAGGGGTTGGGTAAATAATTATTGCATACAATATAACTAGTAGGTTTGCTCTGTTTAAATCAACTTTATTGAAGCATTATTTATATATACAATTTATATCTTTTCTAAAAGCCAATATTAATATTAATCAAAAGTACCTGTGTGGTTTTTTTGTGTTTGTTTTTGAGACAGGGTTTGCTAAATAGCTCATGTGGGGAAACTATATCTATAAAATGCTGTGTCATCAGTCTCATAGGGAAAGATCCAGAGTTTTCATCTTATTCTCAAAAGAACACATAATTTTAAAAAAAGTAAAAACCAACCAAAAAGTTAAGAGCTACTCTTTGTTTGATATAGTGTGCTATATAATTTATACTTCTGTTGTTCTTTTGAGACAGAGTGTCATGTCACTAAGACTGGCGTCAAAATTCTGATCTTCCTGCCTCTAGTCCTTTTACTAGAACAGATCCATCTGTGCTGTGATTACAGGCACACATAATTATACATTCCTATTTGTTAAATTGATTTGTATGTCTTTCCTTGCCCCCACTTTTTTAAAGACAGGATCTCTCTGTGCAGCCCTACCTAGCCTGGAACACACAGAGATCTGCCTGCTTCTGTCTCCTGAACGCTGGGTTTAAAGGTGCCACCCACCATGCCTGGCTTTGTTTGCCTGTCCTTGTATCAATACACAGATATTATGATATTAGATTATGAGGATAGAAACTGCCTTTGTGCTATACTCATTGTAAAGTGTCTGGTGTGATGTTTCCTGAAAAGAGATGTGAGTTCTCTTTGGAGAATGATGATTGCACAGCACACTGAAAAGCGAGCTCAGAGCAGACAGCATGAGAAGCAGCATGTGTCCTACAGAGGCGGGGAGCTATGAGACGAGGTTGCAACTCACGTTGATAAAGCTGACATTGAGCTCCTTGGCAGTGTAGCCCCTCTGTAGGTTCCGTCTTGCATACACATCATAGTCACGGACAATGCGGGTGATGATGTCTGATGTGGAGATACCTTCTGTCCTCTGTGTGGGAGCAAACATGCCTAAGGGAAAACACAGACAGACAGACAGACAGACGATGTGATATCCTGCCACATCAGAGGCAGAGGCAAATGGATCTCTCTAAGTTCAAAGCCAGTCTGGTCTTCACAGTGAGTTCCAAGACAGAACTTAGTCTTTTTAGGAAAAAAAAAGGAAGGACTCTGCTATTCCTATAGGTGAACTCTAGAGACCATGGTACCCAGGGGACTGAATGAAAGACTAGAAGGAGGCACACATTGTCCTAGCAATAAGAAAAATAGGAAATTTGTCCTAAAATAAAAAAAGAAATGAAAGAGATGTTTAAACCGAGAATCAATAGATATTGAGGAGGCTATGCTCACTTCTATGTTGTCCAAGTTTGATGAGGAAAATGTTAAATTTCTCAGAATCACATTTTCCACTTTAAGCAGTGCCGTGGCCAAATCTCTGCAGTTGCCCAAGACCTCATAGACTGAAGCTGGGCATGAGCTCACTCACCTGCCTCCTTGATGTGCTTATACACATCGTCACTTCCTGCAGAAGAATAGGGGATATCGTCATGGGCGACAAAATCAATCTGAAAATAAGAAAACATCATTTTAAATCCCAGGATAACTGCCATTTGGAAAGAACCTGGAAATATTCTTGAGCTCAGAAAAAGGGATCTTGGGCAGGTCCATATCTCAGAACAACTTTTTCTCTGTACTTTTTGCTTGGTTCATATAATCTACAGTCTGTTCAGAAACCACCAACCTGATCATTTATAGCTTATGGCAAACACAGGAAATCTACCAGTTTCCTCTCTAGCTACTTCTTTTTTTGTTTGTTTGGTTTTTTTTTGTTTTTCGAAACAGAGTTTCTCTGTGTAGCCCTGGCTCTCCTGGAACTCACTCTGTAGACCAGGCTGGTCCTGAACTCAGAAATCTGCCTGCCTCTGCCTCCCAAGTGCTGGGATTAAAGGCGTGCACCACCACCGCCCGGCCCTCTAGCTACTTCTTTCTGGCCTAAGAGAAGTGCTGCCTTCCCTTTGTATAGTTGGCAAGCTGTGGTCAAAGGGACAGGGGGTTTCTAGTAGCCAGAACCCAGAAAGAAAGGAATCACCCTGTCCTCCCAGGTCTCTAACAATAGGCCACATAAAGGCTTCTAAAAGAAGGATTTGGCTACTGTTTAATTAACTGCTCCTTCTCTCAGCTCCTGAGAAAAGGGGAATTTAAAAATAACAACAACTAAAGTCCTTTTACCAGAAGAGATACATTCTACCAAAAACGTAAAACCTAAAGCTATGAAGGAGTATCTAAGACTGCATTGCTGTAAATGCACTTCACAAGACTAGGAAGACTGCAAACTCTCACTTATTGACTCCTTCTGGAAAGCCCATAAACCTTTGCTAATGTAATTACGACCCTATCAAACCTATTCCCTCAGAATACCTCCATCACCAATGAACTAGTTGATAGGCCAGCAAAGACAAGACTTAGCCGGAAGCAAGCTGCATGGTTGGGATTTACTGCTTCCTGCGGCTGCACTGAACAACTCTCCTGCAGCAATCCCCACACCGTGCAGAGCAGTGACAGCTACACTGGCTTGTCAAGCTTGAGGGCCTCTGACTGGTGTCATAAATCCATCTCTTTAAAGCCTACTTTGTAGAGGCATGCTTATGTGGGAGAATTCAAAGGCTCCTGGGAGTTTTAAAATAATAATTTACTTCTTGAATAAGAGGGGGAAACACCCTTGGTTTTTGATTGCACACAATTCCTAGCCCCAAATCAAAGCTGAAAGTAAACTTAACAACATAAGAAAATGCGTGATATTTCCTAAAATGTGAAGCTTTTCACCTTTAAATTCATTTTTTGTTTGTTTTAAAAAAGATTTTGTTTTTATATTTTGTATGTGCATGAGTGTATTGCCTGGTGTATGTTTGTGCAACACATGTGTGTCTGTGTCCATGGAGTCCATGGAGGTCGGGAGGTGCTAGATCTTCTGGGACTGGCTTTACACTCTTTTTTTTTTTTTTTTTTTTAGATTTTTTTCGAGACAGGGTTTCTCTGTGTAGCCCTGGCTGTCCTGGAACTCACTCTGTAGACCAGGCTGGCCTCAAACTCAGAAATCCACCTGCCTCTACCTCCCAAGTGCTGGGATTAAAGACGTGCACCACCACCGCCCGGCGGCTTTATACTCTTATGAATGACCATGTGGGTGGTAGGAACCAACCCAGGTGCTGTGCTAGAACAGAAAGTGCTCTTAATCACAGAATCATTTCTCCAGCCCCCTTTAAAGGTTTTATTTCATTATTTGTGTGTGCATGTACATGCATGTACCTGTGCCTTTGGAGCCTAGAAGACACTGGAACCCCTGAAGCTGAACCCCTGAAGCTGAAGTTGCAAACTATTGAAAGCTACCCCATATGGGTGCTGGGAACAATTTCTGGCCTTTTAAAAGAACACAAGTACTCTTTTTTTTTTTTTTTTTTTAAAGATTTATTTATTTTATTTATGAGTACACTGTCGCTGTCTTCAGACACACCAGAAGAGGGCATCAAATCTCATTACAGATGGTTGTGAGCCACCATGTGGTTGCTGGGATTTGAACTCAGGACCTCTGGAAGAGCAGTCAGTGCTCTTAACCACTGAGCCATCTCTCCAGCCCCCGAACACAAGTACTCTTAACTGCTAAGCCTTCACTCAAACCTGTTTTTGAGACAAGATCTTTATTATGTAGCTCAAGCTGGCCTCGAGCTTGTGGTTTTTCTGCTTCAGTTCCTTGGCTTTTGAATATAAACATAATTTTTTACCTTTATTTGTATGTGTTCATTTGTTCATATATTTGTGTATGTAGGCCAGGGGACAACTTGCAAGAGTAAGTTCACCTGGGCCCAGCATGTGGGTTCAGGGTTCAACTTTAGGTCATAAAAAAACAGGCACCAAGTTCCTCTCCCCCACCGAGCCACCTTACTAACCCAGAGAGAAAAACTCTGTGTGTATGGCTAGGACTCTGGATAGTCTAGAGACTGCCACACCATAAAGGGAGGACACACCTATTGAGTGGGGAAAACGTTGTCTAGTTACACAAGTTCATTTAAGTTCTGTAACAGAGTAACCTGGAGCATGTTATTCAGTCTCTCTGTACCTTGTTTTCCATGTGTAAATGGAAATAATAACTATCCCACAGGGCGGCTGTGGGAAGCAACTAGAACATAATGACTATAAAGGTGCTTATAAACCACCAGGCCGCATGTAAGCATCAGCGACGGCCACTATTATAAGTAATAACGCAGTCACCATCTTTCTATAAAACTTACATAGAAGGCATAAATAAAGCATGACGAATAGAAAGCCAGCCTTCTCCCCCAAACACTGAGAGGACGTTGGAACTAGAAATGAGCACTGTGATCAGTCTCTTACCCGGTGCTCTGCCAGGAACTCAGGCGTCAGAGTCCAGGGGGCGTTCCTCACCACCTCATCCACGTAGCGGCAGTGCTGCACTGCGTCATAGCGCTCACTCTCGTTCATCACAGTGAAACCCTTGAAGTTGTGGGTTAGCTCATCACTGCAGACTGGGGGTCACAGCACCACACAGTTGTAAGTCAAGGTCCCCTGTGCAACCCTCCTCATCACCAACCCTTCCCATTTCCTACTTTCTAGGCCTGTGACAATGCCCACCCCACCCCTATCCAACATGGAGAAGCATCTTCTATATGTATGTACTTCAGCCTGGGTAACAATGTCTAGACTAGCCTTCAGGAGTGACACTTTCTACAATAAACTCACACTTTTGAAAAGGGCAAGATATGGAACTCAGATCTTGACTTTGAAATAAACGCCAATGAAGTTTTTTAAAAATGGGTTTTTTTGTTTGTTTTTGTTTGGGTTTCTCTGTGTAGCCCTGGCTGTCCTAGAACTCACTCTGTAGACCAGGCTGGCCTTGAACTCAGAAATCTCCCTGCCTCTGCCTCCCAAGCGCTGGGATTACGGGCGTGCGCCACCACTGCCCAGCTTTAAAAAATGTTTTATTGGAGCTGGAGAGATCTCTCAGCAGCTAAGAGCACTGGCTGCTCTTATAAACTACCTGAGTTTGATTCCCAGCACCCACATGATGGCTCATAACCATCTGTAACTCCAGTCCCATGGGATCTGATACCTTCTTCTAGTTTCTCTGGGCACCAGGCACACATGTGGTACAGAAACACACATGAAAACCAACCAACAAGCAAAAAACCTACCCACATACATATAATAAAAATTTTAATTTTTTTTCCATTTTCATTTTATAAGATTGGACTTGACCATATAACAGTTGCTTGGCAGACTTTTCTTCTGTTGATTTAAAACTGATGAGGCAAAGTCCAGAACCAGTGTTTTTAAGCAGACAGTTGGATCAGTGCTGCTCTATAAGTGCATGTAACTGTAGTACCTTAGCTACGAATCTCTCCTCAGTGAGCTTGCTGCTGAACTGTCCCACACAGACTGAGTTTGAGACAGATACACCATTCCTTTAATAAAGGAGACCTGGGCCAATGTACCCATATCACACAAACAGGAGGGAGATTACTTTTTTTCTGGACAACACCTAAAGTCAACAGATTATTTCTTACCTCCCACAATTAGATACGTATTAGGGAAAAGGTTCTTCGCTTGCATCAGAGCCCGGGCATGACCAGAGTGAAATAAGTCAAATATTCCATCCGCATAAACTCTCACAGGCCGCTCACCTAAATCCAAACAAAAAAACTCATTACACAAACATATTAACTCAATTCCTCGCACCTGACAAATTCAAACAGCACTGTGTAACTTTCATTCTAACAGAGCCTCTCTTGTTAGATGTTCTTTAGGGCCAGGCCTGGTGACACAGACTTGTAATCCCAGCCAGTTTGGAAACAGAGACAGGAAGATTAGCAAATTCAAGGCAAGCTTGGACTATAGAATAAGTCAAGGGCAGTCTGGACAATGTAGTAAGAGCCTATCTCAAAATAAAAAATAAGAAAAGAGTTTGATATATAACCCTATTGAGATATACATACATATATGTCTATACATATATGTATGTATATCTCAATGTACATCTCATATATTTATATATAGTAGAGGCCTTGAATAAGGCCTTAAATTCAGTGGCTACTTCTATAAAAAAAATAAAGTAAATACAAACATAAGCCATGTTACTGTTTTATAGTCCAACAAACTGTGAGGATTACCTGAACCAAACACAAAAGGTTCAAAGACTGAGGTATTATTCCCTTAGTAAGGGTGGCAATTTCTATCTTTGGTACCTGGAATTTAGACTGCAGTCAATGTTTTTATATGGACTGAGTATTTTTTTTCCTTAACGCTACCTTAGATATTAAATATATAGTCAATGAATACATGTCCCGAACTTCAAAATCCTTGGGACTTTTAATGTGTGTATGGAGGAGGTGTATGCATGTAAATGCAAGTACCTATCCCAGAGACATCGATCGGACTGCCCAGAGCGAGACTCACAGGTGATGGTAATCTGCCCACCATGGATGCTGGGGACTGAACTGGGGTCTTATAACCCCTACACCATCTCTCCAGCTCCTAAACCCTCCCTGCAATTTACAACATTTCAGGTTTGTTTAAATAATATAAAACTCCGCTCTGACTGCTAGCACTCTCATTTCCAGTTTGCCTTGATTACTAACAAGTAACACTTTGCTTTGAAAATAAATCCTAGCCAGGCATGGTGAAGCATATATTTAATACTAGCACTTGGAAGGCAGAGACAAGCAGATCTCTGAGTTCAAGTCAGCCTTGCCTACATAGCAACTTCCAGGCCAATCAGGGCTACACAGGGAGACCCTGTCTCAAAAACAAAAGAAAAAAAAAAAACCTGAACATAGGAAATTTGCCCCATTGCTGCCTGAAAGTAAGAAATGATCTGGAGGCATGGGAAAACATTTCTCAGATACATGAAGTACTTGAAAACAAAATAAAAATATTTTAGGACTTTTCCTTTTTCGATTAATTAGAATAAAAAAGAACTGTCTGTGGAGTTATTTTTAGTGCTTATGAAAAGCCAGGAAATTATCTGCAAGTGTATGAGATCAATTCCAAGGTCAAATAAACACTGACATTGCTCACTGTTTCAAATGAGAAATCTCATGAGCCTAAGGACACTAAAGGAGGAACTAGTTCACGGTGGCAGCAGACAGCAAGCAGCAAGAGGAACATGGCCACCTCTTAAGGAAAGAAGGGCCAGAGCCCCATTTAATGGACAGAATCGAAGCCTGGAGACATACTTCCCCCCTTGTCCCAGGGGCTGTAAGCTTTGCACAGTAGTATCTCAGTCAATGAGGTTTACTTGAGGTTTATCCAGGGCATGATTACTGCCAATTAAAAGCACACGCCTTTAATCCCAGTCTTAAGAAGGCAGAGGCAGGCAGATCTCTTTGAGTTTGAGGCTAGCTTGGTCTCAACAAGCTCAGGAGAACAAAGGCTACACGCTGTCTGAAATTCAAACACAAAACTAAAACAAAACAAATCAAAAAAGTCTCTTAAGGGCTATGGATCAGGAAAGAGGAAATATTGTCAAGAGGTTTGGATTTGGGCTGGAGAGGTGGCTCAGCGGTTAGGAGCACTGACTGGTCTTTCAGAGGTCCTGAGTTCAATTCCCAGCAACCACATGGTGGCTCCCATTTGTAATGGGATCTGATGCCCTCTTCTGGTGTGTGTCTAAAGACAGCTACAGTGTACTCATATAAATAAGAATAAATAAATCTTTTTTTTAAAAAAAGATGTTTGGATTTTTAAAATAGCTTTATCCATAAACATGTAATGCTTAAACTGAGAAATCATACATTGCTATTAGGAACATAATTCAGCAACCTTTATCACAAGACAAATGGCAAATACTTGACTCCTTTGAGCTGGCCATTGTCACTCTAGGACACTGTCTTTCAGATAGCCTCTCACTGTGGCATTGTCAACACTTCACCCATGACATGGTGCAGGAGCCATAAACCAAGTAGATGTCCACAGGAAGCTGACCATCGTGGTTGCTGATAAGAGAGACCCGAGTCCTGGGAGGCAGGCTGAGAGGAAGGCTTCTCACTCTGTTCTTTAAGTGCTCTGTGGATGCCTCATCATGTTATAACACAGGAAACACATTTTACTGACATTTTTGCTAGTAGTGTGTATGCGTATAAAAGAAAGAGGGACAGAGCAAGCATATGCAAGCATGCCAGGGTGACACGCAGAGAACAGACGACAGCTTGCAGTAGCCACCACGTGGGTTCTGGGGACTGAACTCAGGCTGTCGGGCTGACAAGCTCCTTTACCTACTGAGTCAATCTTGCTGGCCCAACATCTTAGAATAAAATAGACCAATATAATGAAAAATAATAAGTGTGTTTCTTCCTTCCTTTGAGATGGTTTTTCTCTGTGTAGCCCTGGCTGTCCTGCAACTCACTCTGTAGACCAGGCTGGCCTCGAACTCAGAAATCCACCTCTCTCTGCCTCCCAAGTGCTGGGATTAAAGGCGTGCGCCACCACCACCTGGCCTCTTTTTTTTTTTAATTAATTTTTTATTGGATATTTTATTTACATTTCAGATGTTATCCCCTCCCTGCCAACCCATAAACCCCCATACTCCCTTCTCCTGCTTTTATGAGGATGTGCCCCACCCACCCACCCATTCCCACCTCCCTGCCCTTGAATTCCCCCACTCTGGGGCACCCAGCCTTCATGAGACCAAGGACTTCCTCTCCCACCTATGCCCAACAAGGCCATTCTCCCCTACATATACAGCTGGAGCCATGGGTCCCTCCCTATGTGCTCCCAGGCTGGTGGTTTAGGCCCTGGGAGCTCTGGTTGGTTGGGATTGTTGCTCTCCCCATGGGGCCCCAAACCCCTTCAGCTCCTTCACTCTTCTCTCTCACTCCTCCATTGAGAACAACATGATCAGTTCAATGGTTAGCTGTGAGCATCTGCCTCTGTATATATCAGGCTCTGGCAGACCTCTAAGGAGACAGCTATATCAGGTTCCTGTCAGCATGCACTTCCTGGCATCCGTATCAGCAACTGCCTTTGGTGACTGCACATGGGATGGATTCTCAGGTGGAGCAGTCTCCGGACAGCCCCTCCTTCAGTTTCTGTCCCACACTTTGTCTCCATATTTGCTCCCATGAGTATTTTGTTACTCCTTCCAAGAAGGACCGAAGCACCCACACTTTGGTCTTCCTTTTTCGTGAGCTTTATGTGGTCTGTGGATTGTATCGTGGGTATTCCGAGCTTTTGCACTAATATCTACTTATCAGTGAGTACATACCATGTATGTTCTTTTGTGATTGGGTTACCTCACTCGGGATGATATTTTCTAGTTCCATCCATTTGCCTAAGAATTTCATGAAGTCATTGGATTTATTTATTTATTTATTTATTTATTTATTTATTTATTCGAGTCAGGGTTTCTCTGTGTAGCCCTGGCTGTCCTGGAACTCACTCTGTAGACCAGGCTAGCCTCGAACTCTCGAACTCAGAAATCCATCTGCCTCTGCCTCCCAAGTGCTGGGATTAAAGGCATGCGCCACCACCGCCCGGCCCTAAGTCATTGTTTTTAATAGCTGAGTAATACTCCATTACGTAAATGTATCACATTTTCTGTATCCATTCCTCTGCTAAAGGACATCTGGGTTCTTTCCAACTTCTGGCTATTATAAATAAGGCTGCTATGAACATAGTGGAGCATGTGTCCTTGTTATATGTTGGAGCATCTTCTGGGTATATGCTCAGGAGTGGTATAGCTGGGTCCTCAGGTAATGCTATGTCCAATTTTCTGAGGAACCGCCAGACTGATTTCCAGAGTGGTTGTATCAGATTGCAATCCCACCAACAATGGAGGAGTGGTTTTTTTGAAGTGTTTTTTTTTCTTTCTCCACATCCTGTCAGCATCTGCTATCATCTGAGTTTTTGATCTTAGCCATTCTGATTGGTGGGAGGTGGAATCTCAGGGTTGTTTTGATTTGCATTTCCCTGATGACTAAGGATGTTGAACATTTCTTTAGGTACTTCTCGGCCATTCAAGTTTCCTCAGTTGAGAATTCTTTGTTTAGCTCTGTACCCCATTTTTTAATAGGGTTGTTTGGTTGTCTGGAGTCTAATTTCTTGAGTTCTTTGTATATATTAGATATTAGCCCTCTACTGAATGTAGGATTGGTAAAGATCTTTTCCCAGTCTGTTGGTTGCCATTTTGTCCTACTGACAGTGTCCTTTGCTTTACAGAAGCTTTGCAATTTTATGAGGTCCCATTTGTCAATTCTTTTTTGTTTTGTTTTGTTTTGTTTTGTTTTGTTTTGTTTTGTTTTGTTTTGTTTTTCGAGACAGGGTTTCTCTGTGTAGTCCTGGCTGTCCTGGAACTCACTCTGTAGACCAGGCTGGCCTCGAACTCAGAAATCCGCCTGCCTCTGCCTCCCAAGTACTGCAATTAAAGGCATGCGCCACCACTGCCCGGCTCCATTGGTCAATTCTTGATCTTAGAGCATATGCCATTGGAGTTCTGTTCAGGAACTTTCCCCTGTGCCCAAGTATTCGAGGTTCTTCCCTACCTTCTCTTTTATTAGTTTCAGTGCATCTGGTTTTTTGTCAAGGTCCTTTATTCACTTGAACTTGAGCTTTGTACAAGGAGATAAGAATGGGTCGATTTGCATTCTTCTACATGCTGACCTCCAGTTGAACCAGCACCATTTGTTGA